CAATCAGGCAATTAAAGAAGAAATTTAAAAATATATGGAGACAAATGAAAATGAGAATACGACAATCCAGAATCTATGCAATGCAGCAAAGACAGTCCTAAGAAGAAAGTACATTGTACTCCAGGCCTATTTCAAGAAATTAGAAAAAGTTCAAGTGCAAAATCTAACTGCACACCTAAAGGAACTAGAAGGAAAGCAACAAGATCACCCCAAACCCAGCAGAAGAAGAGAAATAATAAATATCAGGGCAGAAATAAACAATATAGAATCCAAAAAAAACAAAACAGTTAAACAGATCAATGAAAGCAAGAATTGGTTTTTTGAGAAAATAAACAAAATTGATAAACCTCCAGCAGGCTTATTAAAAAGAAAAGAGAGAGCACCAAAATAGACAAAATCATGAATGAAAATGGATTTCTTACAACCACCCCTCAGAAATACAAACAATTATCAGGGAATACTATGAAAAATTATATGCCAACAATTTGGACAACTTAGAAGAAATGGACAAATTCCTAAACACACACTCACTACCAAAATTCTCATGGTAAGAGATAGAAAACCTGAAAAGACCCATAACTAGGGAAAAAAATGAAACAGTTATAAAAAATCTCCCAACAAATATGAGTCCTGGGCCAGATGGCTTCCCTGGGGAGTTCTACCGACATGTAAAACAGAATTAATACCCATTCTTCTCAAACTAGTCAAAAAAATAGAAATCGAAGGAAAACTTCTGGACTCATTTTACAAAGCCAGGGTCAGTTCGATTCCCAAGCCAGACAGAGACCCAGCAAAAAAAGAGAACTACAGTCCAATATCCTTGATGAATACGGATACAAAAGTCCTCAACAAGGTACTTGCAAATCGAATCCAACAGCACATAAAAAGAATTATCCACGATGAACAAGTGGGATTCAATCCTGGGTTACAGAGGTGGTTCAATATTCACAAATCAATGTGATATATTACATCAACAAAAGAAAAGATAAAAACCATATGATTTTGTCGATAGATGCAGAAAAAGCATTTGATAAGATATAGCATCCTTCTTAATAAAGACCCTCGAGAAAGTTGGGATAGAAGGAACTTACTTAAACATCATAAAAGCCATCTATGAGAAGACTTCAGCTAACATCATCCTTATTGGGGAAAAACTGAGAACTTTCCCCCTGAGATCAGGAACACGACAGGGATGAGTTGGAAGTTGGAAGTGCTAGATATCCTAGCATCAGCAATCAGAAAACAAAAGAAAATGAAAGGCATTAGAATTGGTAAAGAAGAAGTCAGACCTTCACTTTTTGCAGATGGCATGATACTCTACATAGAAAACCTGGCAGATTCCACCAGAAGCCTACTAGTCTGATGCATGAAGTCAGCAAAGTTGTAGGGTACAAAATCAATGTACAGAAATCAGTTTCATTTTTATACACCAACAATGAAGCAACAGAAAGAGAAATCAAGAAATTGATCCCATTCACAAATGCACAAAAAAATTTAAACTACCTAGGAATAAACCTAACCAAAAATACTGATGGGTGTGGGGGGAAGGGGGGAGATGTGGATGGAGGAGGGCACTTGTGAGGATGAGCACTGGGTGTTATACGGAAACCAACTTGACAATAAACTATTTGTAAAAAATAAAAATAAAAAATAAAAATAAATTTAAAAAACCTAACCAAAAATATAAGAGATCTGTGTGATGTAAACTATAGAAAACTTATGAAGTAAATGGAAGAAGACAAAAAGAAATGGAAAAACATTCCAAGCTAATGGATCCGAAGTATAAATACTGTTAAAATGTCATTACTACCCAAAGCTTTCTACACATTCAATGCAATCCCAATCAAAATTACACCAGCATTCTTCTCAAAACTAGAACAAACTATCTTAAAATTTGTATGGAACCACTAAAGACCCTGAATGGCCCAACTAATATTGAAGAAGAAAACCAAAATGGGAAGCATCCATCCCAGACTTAACCTCTACTAGAAAGCTGTCTTCATCAAGACAGTATGGTATTGGCACAAAAACAGACACATAGACCAATTGAATACAATAGAGAACTCAGAATTGGACCCACAAATGTATGGCCAACTAATCTTTGACAAAGAAGAAAAGAGTATCCAATGGAAAAACAGACAGCCTATGTAACAGATGGTGCTGGGAAAACCGGATAGTAACATGCAGAAGAATGAAACTAGATCATTTTGTCACACCACACATAAAAATAAACTCAAAATGATGAGGGACCTGTGTGTGAGACAGGAAACCATCAAAACCCTAGAGGGAAACAGCCTCCTTGATCTCAAACGCTGCAATTTCTTACTTGACACATCCCCAAAGGCAAGGGAATCAAGAGCAAAAATGAACTCCTGGGACCTCATCAAGATAAAAAGCTTCTGCACGGCAAAGGAAACAGCCAATAAAACTAATAGGCAACCGACCGAATGGGAAAAGATTGTTGCAAATGACATAACAGATAAACGGCTAGTATCCAAAATCTATAAGGAACTCATCAAACTCCACACCCGAAAAACTGATAATCCAGTGAAGAAAGTGGTAGAAGAAATGAACAGACACTTCTCCAAAGAGGACATCCAGATGGCCAACAGACACATGAAATGATGCTCAGCATTCCTCATCATCAGAAAATACAAATCAACAATGAGAGACGCTTGAATGCTGAGTACAAACTGAGGGCTGATGGGGGTTGGGGGAAGGGGAAGTGAGGTGATGGGAATGGAGGAGGACACTTGTGGGGATAAGCACTGGGTGTTATATGGAAACCAACATGACAATAAACTATTTTTTGTGGGAGCCCGACAGTGACCACAAGAAAGCGTGGTTAGGGACGCGGGGATGTGCCTGCACACTGGGCTCCCTGCCTGGGCAAAGCATGCCTGCAAACAGGATGCTCTGCCAGGAGGCCTGCACACAATATCCAAGTTTAATGGTCCGCTCGCAAATGAGAGAACATGCCCTCCTTAGAAGTAAGGAGAAGGCTGGAATTGTGAGCAGGCCTCTTAGTAAACATGTTGTGGTCCCTTCCTCCCTTTGCTCCCCCCTGTCCTTGAAATGTGTTTGGCTACTTGCCCTTAATTGGTGAAGGAATGCATCTTGTAGATTTCAGTTTGTATCCAGTTACCGGGGTATAAAATAAACCGCAAGAGGGGCTTGCGTAGAATTGTTCCTCCGGCCGGAGTTGTGTCTGTGTCTGTCTTTTGTGTGTGTCTTGTCCTTTGTGTCATTTCGTCTGCAACAATTTTTTTTAAAAAAAGAAAATACAAATTAAAACCACACTGAGATACCATCTCATGCCAGTCAGAGTGGCTAAAATGAACAAGTCAGGAAACTATAGATGCTGGTGAGAATGTGTAGAAACGGGCACCCTCCTACACTGTTGGTGGGAATGTAAAATGGTGGAGCCTCTCTGGAAAACAGTATGGAGGTTCCTCAAAAAATTAAAAATTGAACTCCTCTATGACCCGGCAGTAGCACTGCTAGGAATTTACCCAAGGGATACATGAGTGCTGATGCATAGGAGCGCATGTACCCCAATGTTCATAGCAGCACTCTCAACAATAATGAAAACATGGGAAGAGCCTAGGTGTCCATCAACAGACGAATGGATCAAGATGTGTTTTATCTATACAATGGAATACTACATGGCAATGAGAAACAATGAAATCTGGTCATGTGTAGCAACAAGGAGGGACCTTGAGGGTCTTATGCTGAGCGAAATAAGTCAGGCAGAGAAGGACAGATACCATATGTTTGCACGTATAGGTGGATTAGGAGGAACTTAACGGAGGACCATGGGGGATGAAGAAGGGGAAAAATAGTTGGGGAGAGAGAGGGAGGCAAACCCTGAGAGACTCTTGAATGCCGAGAACAAACTGAGGGCTGATGAGGGTGGGGGAGAGGGAAAGGGGGGTGATGCGCATGTAGGAGAACCCTTGTAGGGATGAGTACTGGGTTTTATATGGAAACCATACTGACAATAAACTATTAAAAAATAACAATATTTGTTGTCCATAAAAAGTAAATAAGGAACTATTTCACTTGTGGATGCAATTTCTGTGTTTAAGTTACAGCTTCGTAGAAAGAGCCTTGCTGTGGCTCTTTCTGAGTAGCCACTCCCCATGCTCATGGTCAAGGGAAGGAAGGATGTTGTAATCATTACTATCATTACCACACACTGGACTCTTGCCAGTGAGTTTTTAAACCTTTTGGGGATTAAAATTTTAATCTTTGCAGTGACTTCCCTAAATGGCAATGAAGCACGAAGTAATGGCTTCAAAGCATGAATTCTAAATGTGATATGGGAATTGATTGGGATTTGTTAGACAGAAGAGGAACTTGTGGGAACACAAATACATTGTGGGAGGAATATAATGAGGGAAACTTTCATCATTTCATGACTTCTTTTGTATTTGTACATACCTATACTTACATCTTCCACTTCACTAAATACAGAAGAAATCCCCATTCTTTCCTCTTCCCTTCCTAAGACAAGAGATTATTTTCCACTCCTACCTCTGAAGCTCTCTTCAGTTTTAAGTGTTAGTAACTTCAGGAGTCTAAGGGAATATGACCTTTCTAGGAAACCAGTTTTCTCAGAAGGACAATTGGAAGATGATGCAGGGACTTAAAAAATGGTCCACTTACATGACATTGACAGTTGTTAAGTGTCATTATCAAGACTAACATTTTAATGTTAGAGTTGAAATATTTGAGGCTATAAAATGTCAATGAAAATTTGCAAAAATTGTATGAAGCTCTCAATAAAATGCCATATGCATGCAGGCATCCATCCATATCATCTAGGCTAAAACCAAGTGTTCAATTTCTAGAAATAAGAAATAAATAGACTTTGTGGATACACAAAGCTTCTAAGTATGACAAATATAATAATGTAATGACATATGTAATAATGAGTCTAGAAGTCACAGTACTTGCCAGGCACCAGACACCAAAATCCACTTCTCTTTGTGTTTCAGGTTGGGCTTCCCAATGATGGTTGTCTCCTGCACAGTTGGGATGTGCTACCTCCTTGTTGCTCATGTTGTGATGGGATGGAATTAATAGATATACATCGTTTGAAGACTTAAGGGAAACTTGACTCATCACCAACATCAGTAGAAAACTGCCCCAAGACCACTCTTGGGAGAAGAAAAGGTGCTTACCATTGGGGTGCTCTGGGGTGCAAATCTTTGTCATCCATAATCATTCAGGTGGATGCTAGAAAATTATGGGAAATGCAAGATAATTTACTAAAGATTCCACTACAAGAAAATATGTATATTTCAAAACACATCTTGCTATGCTCTCTAATAAAAGACACAAATACAGTATTCTACCCTAAATGGCTTGTACTGTTTTACTGTCAGTTTCCTGAGGTCCTCTAGAGTTTTTTCGTATAATCACTTTCCATGTTATAAAATAATCTCCATCTCTGAATATGTACTCTTACTGAGAAAAAGAAGACAGTTTGTAAGGAAACATTTTATGCATTACAAAATAAACTGTAACTTGACAAAAGATTTTGAGTTTGCTAGTCTCCTAGTTTTTTAGTAGTTTATACAATAAAATGTTATGTATCATTCACTTATGTTTTTCTCTGAAGTTTTTAAGTCATCAATTACAACTGCAGAAATTTGACTTATAAGATGGTCATAAGTGCTTTTAAAATAATATTTTACAATCTAACAGCCTAGAATAATAAACAAGTTTTGAAGGTGGTACATGCTATTTTCACTGATTACAGAAAAGTGTGGTTGTTGCACCCAGCTGTACACGCACACCCCACAGGACTTTACTGGTTCCATCAATGTTTATTAAATGCTGGAATGCTTTTTTTTGTTTGTTTTGTTTTTGTTTTTGTTTTTGTTTTTGGAGTGTTACGTGTGAGACAAGGCTAGTGAGTGAGAGCAAAGAGCAAGAGAGGGCTAATGCTTCAGCTGAGGTCTCTTATGCTCTGCTTAGGCAAAACCATAGCTAAACCCTGGACAACTGACCTCTCCTTCAGTTTTTTTTTGTCTACTGAAGCAATTTCAAGCATCTGATTGCTTGAAATGAAGTTGTTTACTCGGGACTCTTCTCAAGTACTAGTTGTATGAAGCATCTGATTTCAAAAGGCTTAAGATCCCCAGGGCACTAAGTACTGAAAAGTAGACCTTTATAGTTATATTTCTGTCCCTGACACCCTCAGGATGAATGTGCCCTTTCTACAGTTTAGAATCTACGATTGGTAAATGGCAACCTGTTTCCTCTCTGGGAGAGTTTCTGAGAATATGCCCTTTGGATTAAATCTTTGAATTCATTGACAGCAAAGGTGACATGAAGCTCCAGTTTGTTTTAAAATCTGGTCTTGGTCACAGAAAATGCTGTGTGCACCTGACTCAGTGCTCCAGAGGAGCTCCTACCCCTGACTTTCCAGGGAAAGAGCCATGACAGCTGTCCTAGCTCTAGTCCCTTTCCCCACTGCCTTACTGATACCTAGATGTCCCCAAACTCTTTCACCAAAAGTCACTGTCTTCTCTTCTCCTGCATATCTTCATGCCTGGTGGTGATGGTGGTGCCTTCCTTGTGCCTGGCTGCTGGTCTAACTCATGGCTCTTCTCTGATCCTTCAGCGTCTACTCCCACATGGTGCCACAGTCTCCATCTCTTCACCTCCCACCTCTCCTCATTGATGCCACCCTCAGTCCTCAGTCACTCCTTCTTATTCTTAAATACCTTCAGCTCCTGACTTATTTCTTCCTCTCCCCTTTATTCCCTTACGTTCTCAGCATTCCCCATTTGGCATTCAAGCCTCATTACATCTAAACGTGGCCCTGGTAATTGCCTCTTGAATTATTTATCTCACATGTCTCTCCCTTTGTCACCTACTCCAGATCACCACCTAAACACGTCTCCCCCCCGCCCCCCCGCCACTGATGGCTCCAATTCATCAGCCTCTCCCCTTTTCTAACTTCCCACATCAGTTCTGTCCTAGCTCAGTTTTCTACTTCTGCTCTTGAATTTAAAACTTCTTTTAAATAAACTGCCACTCCTCTGCCTTTTTGGCCCTGTGTCTAACAGTGATGAGATAATTCAAAAGTTAAGATGACCGGTTTCACTTAAAATATAGATCACAAGCATCAAATAGGCACTCAATGCTGTCTGGCTCATTTCCTGTATTTCCCTAGTGCAGCATTCAGAGTCCTGACTGGAAACACATGGATCCTCAAATTGGGTAACTCAGAGGGAATTTAACCAGTATGATATAGTTCTTCAGACTAGTCAGAAGGTGAGAGAAGGGAAGAGCAGAATCCAGAAATGCAGGGATCTAGATGGCAAGGGATCCCTGACAGAAGCTGTGATCTTCTATAGATGGTTACAGCTAGCAAGAGTCACTTTGCAGGCTGTGGGAATTACTTTGATTTCACTCTCTTTCTTCCCTGTAATTTCCAATGCTCTTCCCATTGGCTAAAGCCAGAAAAACCCAGAGGAAGAGAGGAACTGTTGATGTTTACATAGGTCAGTTCCTGTGGACACAGAGTAGGACAAATAGCATGGAACAGTGGGTTTGGAGGAGCAGATGGAAAGTGCACTCCTCCATCCACCATTTTTGCTCTTTAGCAGATGAGAGGTTCACATCTACAATAAAGGAGACATTAAAAGTTCCATCAGCTTTCCTATCATCAGGAGTCAATGCAAGTTTGTCCATACTCCAACCTGATACTGTCTCCAGAATTAATAGATAATCCAATGCTTATTAAACTCTGTTTTACCATGATAGGAAAAGACAACATTAAAGGGACAAACTGTATATTCACTAAAAATATTGAACCACCACAGATGTTATCCCTATAGAAGCTGCTGTTCTGATACTTCATGCATGAACTGCTCAACATCACCAGGACCATGAGGAGAATGCTTTTACAGTCTGAATTCACCATGAAAATCAAGATGAAAATCTGTTTGCTCTTCTGCCACATATGAGGATTCTGAACTTAGGAGTTGTGTATTACCTTTGACAGATATCTCACACCAGATATATTCCCAAGGCCACATGTAGGCATGAATGGAGAAGGAGATGGCAAAGCAGCAGACACAGCTACCATAGGAATCTGAGCAACTTTCTTCTGGAATTTATGTGTGCCGTCCAGACACACTTGGGTCCAGTTTCCTAACTACCACATAATGGAAGACCAACTTTATAGGTCAGTTGGTCAGATGGCACTTGGCTTATGATGCACAGGTCAACTTGCCTGGTCACACTGTTTCCAACAATCAGGTCCTCAATCTGTACCAGGGACCAGTGGCATCCAGGAGTTGGCCTTAGTGGAGATAAGTAGTCAGAATGGCAAGGCATGGACTTTATCCAAATCCTCAGGGTGTATACTCTGATTCTCCCATTGAGGTTTGCCAACACCTCCCCTCTATGTGCTGTGGCATTAAAGAAGGCCCACATTGCAAGGCAGCTTGCACTACAACCTGACCTTGTGGAAGAGCTTCTGCTTGCTTCCATCCTCCTCAAACCATGCAGCCTCATTAGGGTTACAGCAGCTTCTCCAATCTGTTATATGTTGCTTATAACATCAAAGGAAGACCAAGAAGAATTGTATTTTGTTTTTTCTATGAATGTTATTAGTGTAACAATTTGTCTTTCAATTTGCAAGGTACTTTTGAGTCATCAATTGGTGCTAATCTCTGCCATTTCTAGCAGGATGTTGTATTTCTTTCATTTTACTATTTTGGTATGGAATGGGGAAACTTTCTAACATAATAAGGAACAAACTTGGAGATTCTGAGAGTTATTTGACATACTCATCCCAGGACTCATTCTGCAGCTGGGAAAATAGCCATGATTCCACAGGATCAACTATTGTATGTACTTAGCTCAAGAATGCATCCCCCACTTGGCCTCCATAGGCCTCTACTTTTTCTAGTGAATCAGAGGGCATTTTGGGTCACTGACAATCGCCGAAAATTAGCACCTAAGGATGGAGATATAAGTTTCTTTTTACTCTTTACTAGAGGTAACTATGAACATAGATTTGATGCTTTTGCTCAACCTCATATAATCAAATTCTCTCCCATCATTACCCCCAGCGGGGGTCCTGGGTCCTTGTGTCATTGTCACCACCATGCCTTATTGAGTTGGTGCATGGAGTAGATTAAATAAATATGTCAGGCAGTGGCAAGTTCTGGGAAGAAAAATGCAGCCAGAATTCTAGATAAGATGATTGGGGATGGGACATCTGAGTAGAGCCATAAAGTAAGACCAGCTGTAGAGGGGTCTGGAGAAAGGGAGCGCAGTAGAGTGCTCAGGAAGTGAGATCCCCAAGGCAGGAACATGCTGGGTGTTATTGTACTAGCAGAGTGAGCTAGGGGAAGAGGAACCCAGGCTCTGGCCTTGCAGGACAGTGGGCCAAGAGGAAGGCGTTAGATATTTGTTCACTAGAAGAAAAAGGTAGATAGATAAATGCAGGATGTTGAAAGGAGGAGTTCACATCTTAGCTGTCCTAGAAACATGCTGCTGTCTCCTTTTCTGCCTCGAAGTCAAGAGCCAGGAAAATAAGGAGATTGATTTTATTTAGGTTACTGTAATGGAGAGAATGTCCCAATTCCAAAAAGCAGAATGTCTTAAAAGGATGGGTTTGCTGTTTTTAGTGGAGACTAAATAAGCTACACATGGGGTAATTTGCAGTAGGGGTTGCTTTTCTTTGTAGTCAGTGTCAAAAGTAGTAATTAGTAAAAGTTTACTGTGTACACACCAAGAAGACAGTTTGCACACCTGAAACACTCTAAAACATGGACGGAGTCTCAGAGGTTAACCGTTTTAGGACAGCTTGTATAGTGAGCAGACAGTGACTGTCTATTCTTCACAATGCTTGGTTATTATACTAGAGTTTTCTTAAATGATAGGGATTTGGTTACTGGTTACCTCATAACAATATTTGGAAGCTGTTTAAGATTTGCTTATGATTTCCAGAAACATACATAAGAAATAATCCAGATCAAGTTAGTCTTATAAAAAAAGCTAAATTAAGCTCACTGCATCACCTATGGGGTGGATTCACCAAGGAGAACTCAACACACAAGGTGCTGATTCAAATGATGCCTTTCTCAGAGGGAGAATAAATTTGGCAAGATCAGTATCTGCAGTGTGTGCTGGTGGTCTCCCATGCCAGTGGGTCTCTCCAGATAACTGATGCAGGGTGATGGGTTGCATGCTCCCCTCTCCTGCTGCAGGCAAAGACTCCGTTCCCTTCCTGCAGGGGCCAGATATACCAATGGGCTGACCAGGTGCAATGTGATATAAACACTTAAGCAGAGAACTTCACCCATACTCTTATGGGGTTGGAGTCACCAAGGAAAACTCAACACACACAGAGCTGGCTGGAATAATGCCTTACTGGAAAAAAAACAAAAACAGACTTGGCAAGATCAGCATTCATTCTAGAACAGGGAAGATTTTTCCTAATTAA